CTGATTACTGAGTTCGATCTGACGGACAGTGTTACTCAGTCTTTGGTGGAAGCCTATCGCGAGGATCAGTTCATGTCTGAGATCATACGCAGACTTGAGGCGAAGGACAAGAAGACTTCTGCCGAGTTTGAATTGGTCAATGGCTTGCTATTCCTTGAGAAGGACGGGAATAAACGATTGTGTGTCCCAAATAGCGAGTCTTTGCTTAGTTTGTTTTTAGGTGAGTGCCATGATGCCACCGGCCATTTTGGGTACAAGAAGACCGCAACCAATCTGCTGCAGCGGTTCTGGTGGCCCACGATGATGCGAGATGCCCAGCTGTACGTGGAGACTTGTCAAGTTTGTCAAAGGGACAAGCCACGCACTCAGGCTCCTCTTGGGCTCTTGAAGCCTCTGATTCCGGAACGGCCTGGTGAGAGTTTGTCCATGGATTTCATGGATACTCTAATCACCAGCAAGAGTGGGATGCGTCACATCTTCGTCATCGTGGATAGATTTAGTAAGTATGCTAGGTTAGTACCAATGTCGGAAACAGCAAAGACGGAGTATGTGATCCGGATGTTCAAAGAGAACTGGGTTAGAGACTTTGGTTTACCGAAGTCTATTGTCAGTGACAGGGATGTTCGGTTTACCAGCGAGTTGTGGAAGGCCGCTGCTGCAGAGCAGGGAACTCAGTTGCAAATGACTTCTGGGAATCACCCAGAGGCCAATGGACAGGCAGAGCAACCGAATCGCGTTGTGCAACACCTGTTGAGGCACTACATTAAGCCCAACCAGGTGGACAGGGATGAGAAGCTTGCTCTCATCGCCAGCCTGTACAACAATGTTGTACACAGTGCCACTGGGGTGAGCCCGAACAGTTTACTCCTGACTTTCAAGCCTAGACTACCCCTTGACTTTCTCCTTCATGAGAACTAATCAACGACTGCACCGGGTACTTTAGAGTTTGCCTACAGATATGAACAGAACATGCAGCAGGCGGTAGAGCAGATGCAGAAGGCACAGGCGGCAATGATAGAGTCTGAGAACAGACACCGTCGACCTTCTACCTTTCAGGTTGGGAACAGAGTTTAAGTCCTCAGAACTGGGACAGGAGTATGGGATTTCCCGTAAACTCATGCCACAGTACTTTGGACCATGGGAAGTCTTAGATATTGTCGGTACTGATCCAGATGGGCCATCTTATGTAATCCGAATCCCAGGTCATCTTCGTACTTACCCCGTCTTTCACGCCTCCAAACTTGCACCATCCAAAGAAACTAATCAGTTTCCATCTCGCCGCTCAATGCTGCCCCCAACCATGGACGGAGAGGTGGACATCGATGGTATCGTGCACCACAGAGAGCTGTCGGTATCAAGACCAACAGGCAGGGGACGTCCTCCGAAACCGAAGCTGCAGTACCGCGTTCGGTTCCGACATCATACTGATCCGAAGGAGGACCGATGGTTTACTAGGGATGAACTCATGCAGACCGTCCCACAAGTGGTAGCCCACTATGAGAAATCTCTGCAGAAAGGAAAGCGCCCGATGGTCGAAGACTGAGCTTCTCAGAGGACTGTTGAAGCCAAGGAGGAGGGAATGCGAGGCCACTGCCTCTATGAGCCCCATTCAGCCCCTTTCCGGGAGCCTGTCGGCCGCCCTAAGTGAAGGCAGGCTCGACGAGGCCCCTCAGGGCCGTACTTCGGCCTCTGCGCAACTCAAGGAAATTCAGGCAGTTGCGCAGCGCCAGTTGGTTGAGTGAACCCAGGCCCTGGGCCGCCTGTGTGAATGTATGTGAAGCAGGCSCTGGGCTGGATACRKGTACTGGGCCAAACACAGGCCAAAGGCAGTTGGGCACATGCAACCACCTCAGGCCCAAGGCCTGTTTTCGTCGAGCTGGGCCTCAGGCTACCGGGGCCTACTGGAAGCTTCCTGGGACTGCACGCAGGCAGGCCACTTCGATATAGCAAAGGGCCTGCCTCCGTATTCGACATTCGGGTGCTGGCTGCATGCTGCACAAACGCTGCTGCGCTATATGCTGGTTGGCGCCTACGCTCTCACGGGCGAGCAGGGAAGGAGCACGCAGCCATAGCCGAGCTGCGCTGCTGTAAGCTGGGTGAGGCGCAGGGTGGTCCTTGGGTGCTAGTGGCATCTATACGTTGGGGAACGAGGTTGTGAGTGTGGTGAGAGACATACCTGGTGCTGGAAGCGTGCGACATTGGTCGCCATATGCGCGTACTTCGGGAAAGCTGTTGACGTCATCTTTTGGCATCGTAGTGTAGGCTAGATAGGATGTGGCACATGTAGTCTGGGCGCCGAGCGCCAGATAGGATATCAACTTTGGTTCTTCGTTGATGATGATGGGACTATCTCAGCATTGTCAATTATGAACTCTTGGTGTGTTCTTATTTGGTGAATCTCGTGAAGCAATTTTGTTGTTGGTTCGAGGTCACGACTATCTGGACTCATATGTATGATGCTGTTTGATTGCTGAAGTTCGCTATCGCTCATCTTCCTTGCACAATAGGATCAAACCACCTCTTCAGTCTTGAACAGACCGCCATATAGGTCATGCACATCTAGCAGTTATGTCCCTCCTGATAATGAGGATTCATTCTTCATTGTTCTCCCCCCCCCCCCATCAAACCATTGAAGCTCCACCAAAGTTGTCTCTGAAGGGGGGAACGGTTCAAAAAAGCATGCAGCATCTCTGAAGGACTCCCCTGGCTGAATATCAAACCAGTCATTAAACTACAAAAAGTAACTCTTTTTTAAAGGCATCACAAACTCATTCTCATCAGGCCATACCATCTGTCCCATACCCTGTTCCTGTGATCCCCCTAGCCAGTCCATTGTGAATTTGAGAATATATTGCTTGATGCCTTTCTTCTGAGTTAGATATTTTAATTTGCCTTTAAGATTAGCCAATTGGGCCCGAATTTCTGTTTCCACGAATTGTTTGACATTATGAAAAACTTTCATCCCTTCCATACGTACATCCTCTATTACATGAGCACATATGATAGCTTTCCTACCAAGACGAAACAAATTCGACTGAAAGGTTGAAAGGGACAGGGCAACCGGATCCAATGGCCAAGTAAAAGGGCTCTCCACTCCCAAGGCCACCCGAGGCCGGTTAGTCTTCGCCAAATACAATCCCAATGACGCCACATAAGGATAGCCCCTGGGCACTGAGTGAAGATGTGTTCAATGGTTTCTCGATATTTACATCAAAGGAATGCCATTTGGCAAGAACCGCACCACAATAATGCTAATCCTCTCTGTTCTAGCGTTGAGTGGCCTATCAGCCCGTCATTAGTAGCCAGACATCTATGCATAATCTGTCATTCAAGTGAAGCAAATTTGGCTGGTCTTTCCTTCCTAGATCGAAACCAACGTACTGTACGAACCTGGTCTATATGAATGTTGAGATGCCTCACCCATCTATCTTGCACAACCGCTGGAGCATCGACTTTAGGTCTCAACAACCTATAGGCTGCCTTGACAGTCATGGATTGAAGCATTCTAGACTTACCCTTTTTTGAAATCCGCCATGTCCATTCCTCAGGGTTCAGTGGAAGCTCCCTATTGGGATTTTAGGGTAATAGGCCCACCATCGGCTGAGTGATGTGTGGCTAGGTACATACAATGGTAACAAATGTACTAGAGAGTCTAGACGTACACTTGGTGCATGAATAGATGTGTTGGTTTCCAGCTTTCCAGCAATGTCCCACGATGAAAGGATGCGGAAGACAGAGGGCATGAGGGGATGGAGGACGTGCTCACACCAGTAATTTCCTGGACGTATCTGGTCATATTTACGTCCATATTCAGCCCGAAGAGTCCTTGTCTGAAAGTATGGCATGAGAACCAAAGAAAGTGAAATGTGAGTGGATCTGAGCGTTGGCCAAGACAGGTCATTGCCTTGAAATAACCTTTCAAGTCAGGAAAGGGCATTTCACCCAAAGATTGAGGTGTGCAAGGGCGGGGAGAAAGGAAAGGGAATGGAGGAGAGTAGAAGTGCTGACATAGCAAAACAAAAGAGAGAACTAGCAGCTGAGGCATGGGGGGGTGGAAAATCAGATGGGGGGCACATCGGGTAGGAGGGGTCCATCCTTGTCCAATTGTTGAAATGCAAACAGTAGTCTGCAATCAGACTTGCTTTCTTCTTCGCTTCCCATACATGCAAACAGATGACGACTCACACTGGCGCACAACGCCCACTCAAAACTCAAAGATATGGGACTCAAGAACACAGTTCAGGCGCAAACTTGCTTCAACAGGCTATGGTGCTTCAGCGCCTATACAACCCAACTCTCGACACCGTCTCCAACACCACTGTTCGCACACACTCAACTTTGGATCACCCTGAATACCCCCCCCCCCCACACTCTTGCGTCTCTCTCCTATCTACAGCGGCTATGGCCGCTTAACCACTAACTATGGCTACGCTAACTTCTTCCAGCCCTCTTCGACCTCGGGCGCTCTGCAGACCACCTCGCACAAGTCGCTTGAGACAGCGCGTCCGCATGGCTTACGCAGCGAATGAATGAATCTGTGGACGCTGCCTCTTGATTTATACTTCTGTTGGTAGCTGGTCTGCCCCTTTCCTCCAGGTCCTCGGTGCACACAGTCCCACACGGTACTTGCTTGACTGGACTGCGACTAACTGGACCGGTACCGCTGACCTCACAGCGTTGCACTGCCGACTCGATGCAGTCGCACTGCCTACTCGATGCAACTGGACCTACAACTTACCTACAAACCTCTAGCCTAGCAGTTTCGACCTCTAGACATCTGTAACCCCTACTTGACAGATCTACAGATCGAACCCCTACAACTACAAGGACCTATGACAAGGTACAGTCACTACTAAAATACAGGTCGCGGGTTCAAAACACACAGGGGTCTACTCGATACTGTACACGGGTGCAGGTAAGGTCTAGGGATCGAACCCTGGGATCTGCATCTACTTCTGCAAAAGTGAAAACCGTTTCACTCCCGCCGGCCTAAATTTGAGGTCCTCCGAGAATACTTCAGTCCAAGGTCGGACCTTTACCCTTTTTATATCTCTCATAGGCTCGGACTATATTGGGAGTTGTCTCTAAAAGTTATGCTCTGGTGAACCAGCGGTCGTCTTCAGGTTCTTGATAAGAGAGTCTGGCTTTGTACTGTTTTTGTGGACGACCTCTACCTCCTGTTTTGAAGACATCCTCACCTACTATGCCATCAATGTCGTATCTCCCATCCATATCCGGAGGAATCATAGACCTTCGTGATGGAAATTGGTGGCTCGTTGTACAAGGTAACAACTTTGATGCATGGAAAATTGGGTAGGTGTGGAGGTGTGCTGGAATCTCTATCGTGTAGGATGGTCCATCCTCTCCACCCTTGACTTCTAGGACTGGCCACGGTCCTCTATAAGCAGGTAGCAGCTTTTGCGAGATGTTCTCCTCAGGAGCAAACTTTTTTGACTTGACCCAGACTAGGAACTGTGAAGGGCGACGGTGTTTGTTGGCTTGTTCTATCATTCCGTGCTAGGCCTTCCTGAGGTTCTCAACTACTGTAGCTATCTCTTTCTCGTGCTGTATTGCAAACTCCCTGGTACCGGGTGGTAACCTCTGAATCTGATCCCGGTTTTCAAACGGTCTGCGTGGTTTAAAAGACTTATAAAGCTCATTGGGAGTGCGACAAGTGGCTAAGTGCACGCTATTATTGTAGGCACTGGCTACTTTTGGGAGCATCTCATCCCAGTCCAGTTGATCGGGCCTAATGTACATCCTTAAAACTTGCTGAAGGACTTTTGTTCGGTCTGTTCGTTTGTCTTTGGATGACGGCCATACGACATTAACAACTTTGATCCATAGACTTTCATTAATTCCTGCCAATTTTGACTAGTGAACCAGGTGTCTCTGCCACTTACTATAAACAACGGTAGCCCATGTTCACTGACCCAATGGTCGAAAAACTTTCGGATCACTAAATTTACGCGTGCCTCAGAAG